TCAGTATTCTCTGCCAACACCACAACTCAAAAGCATCAACTCTTTTTGAGTCTTCCTTATTCATGGTCCAGCTTTCACATGCATATGAGGCTATTGAAAATACCATGGCTTGGGTTAGGTGCATCTTACTCTTTAAAGAAACATTTTTGCTCTTCAGCATTTTAAAGAGGTCTTTTGTAACACATTTGCCCAGTGCAATGCGACATCTGATTTCTTGACTGCTGCTTTCATGGATTCAAGTAATAGGAAATCTTTGACAATTTCAATCTTTTCTCCATTTATCATGATGCTGCTTATTGGTCCACTTGTGAGGCTTTTTGTTTTCTTTATATGTTGAGTTGTAATCCATACTGCTCTGGTAGCATAGTGGCTAAGACACTTGCCTGCTAACCAGATGGCTGGCGGTTCAAACCCACCAGCCACTCCTCAGAAGGAAGGATGGGCAAACCTACTTCTGTAGTGATACTGCCTCGGAAACCCAAGGAGGGGTCGCTATGAGTCGGGTCCAACTCGAAGGCACATAACAACAATAACAACTACAATCCATACTGCAGAGTACAGTCTTTGACCATCAGTAAGTTCTTAAAGTCATCTTTATTTTCAGCAAGCAAGGTTGTGTCATCTGCATATCGCAGATTGTTAATGAGTTTTCCTCCAATCCTGATGCCATGTACTTCTTCATATAGTCCAGCTTCTTGGATTACTTGCTCAGCATACAGATTGAATAAATATGGTGAGAGGTTACGACCCTGATACACACCCCTCCTGATTTTAAACCATGTAGTATCCCCTTGTTTTGTTTGTAAGACAGCCTCCTGGTCTCTGTACAGATTCCTCATGAGCACAATTAAGTGTCCTGGAATTCCCATTCTTGTCAATGTTATCCATAAATATCCACACAGTTGAGTGCTCTTGCATAGTCAATGACACATAAGTAAACATCTTTGTGGTATTCTCTGCTTTCAGCCAAGGTACATCTGACATCAGCAATGATATCCCTCATTCCAGGTTCTCTTCTGAATCCAGCTTATTTTTCTGGAAATTCCCTGTCAATATATTGCTGCAACAATTTTTGATATTGTCAGCAAAATTTTACTTGCATGTGATATTAACAATACTGTTTGATAATTTCCATATTCTGTGGGATCAACTTTCTTTGGAATGAACACAAATATGGCTCTCTTCCAGTCAGTTGACCAAGTAACTGTTTTCCAAATTTCTTAGCATAGATGAGTAAGTGCTTCCAGTATAGCATCTATTTGTTGAAACATTTCAATAAGTATTCTACCAATTTCTGGAGCCAATTCCTTGTGTTTTTTTTTTTTTTTTACCAATTCCTTCAGCACAGTTTTGACTTCTTCCTTCAGTACCATTGGTTCTTGATCATATGCCACATCCTGAAACAGATGAACATCGACCAATTCTTTTTGGTACAGTGACTCTGTGTATTCCTTCCATCTTCTTCTGATGCTTCCTGCATCATTCAATATTTTGCCAATAGAATCTTTAAATATTGCAACTCAAGGCTTGAATTTTTTCTTCAGTTCCTTCAGTTTGAGAAATGCCAAGTATGTTCTTCCCTTTTGGTTTTCTACCTCCAGGGCTTTGCACATTTCACTATAATAATTGACTTTGTCTTTCTTGAGCTGCTCTTTCAAATTTTCTATTCAGCTCTTTTATCTTATTATTTCTTCCATTTGCTTTAGCTACTCACCTTCCAAGAGCAAGTTTCAGAGTCTCTTCTGACATCTATTTTGATCTTTTCTTCCTTTTCTGTCTTTTTAATGACCTTTTGCTTTCTTCATGGATGATGTTCTTGATATCATCCCACAATTCATCTGGTTTTCAGACATTGGTGTTCAATACATCAAGTTTATTCTTTAGATGGTCTCTAAATTCAGTGGGATGTAATCAAGGTTTTGGCTCTTGTGGACTTGTTTTAATTGCCTTCAACTTCAACTTGAACTTGCATATGAGCAATTGATGATCTGTTCCACAGTCAGCTCCAGGCCTTGTTTTGACTGATGATATTGAGCTTGTCCATTGTCTCTTTCCACATATGTCATCAATTTGATTCCTGTGTATTCCACCTGGTGAGGTCCATGTGTATATCCACCATTTATTTTGTTGGAAAAAAGGAATTTGCAATGAATAAATCGTTGGTCTTGCAAAATTCTATCATGTGACCTCTGGCATCATTTCCATCATGTATTTTCAACTACCAGTGATTCCTCTTTGTTTCCAACTTTCCCATTCCAATCACTAGTAATAATCAATACATCTTGATTACATTTTTGGTCAATGTCAGATTGCATAAGTAGGTAAAAATCTTCAGTTTCCTCCTCTTTGGCTTTGGTGGTTGATGTGTAAATTTGAATAACAGTAGTATTAAATGGTCTACTGACAGCACTGTACTTCAGGATAGATCTTGAAACATTCTTTGTGACAATGAATGTGACATCAATTTGTCATTCCTGGCACAGCAGATCATATGATTGTCTGATTCAAAATGGCCAAAACCAGTCCATTTCAGCTAATGCCTAGGATATCAAACTTTATGTGTTTCATTTCATTTTTACAACTTCCAAACTTTCCTAGATTCATACTTTTTACATTATGTGCTTTGATTATTAATGGATGTTTGCAGCTGTTTCTTCCCATTTTGAGTCATGCCACATCAGTAAATAGAGGTCCTGAAAGCTTTACTCCATTCATGTCATTAAGGTGAACTTTACTTTGGGGAGGCAGCTCTTCCCCCAGTCATATTTTGAGTGCCTTCTGACCTGAGAGCTCATCCTCTGGCATTATATCAGACAGCATTTCAGGGCTATTCATAAAATTTTCCTGTAAAATATCAGACAGTGTTACACTGCTATTCACAAGGTTTTCACTGGCAATTCTTTGAGAAGTGGATGACTGCTTCCTTCTTCAGAGTCTGTCTTAATCTGGAAGCTCCACTGAAACCTGTCCAAGTGGACCCTGAAATAACAGTAGCATAGCCTTCAGCCTCACAGCAACATGCAAGCCACCACAGTACAACAAACTGACAGACTAATATTTTGCCCATAAAATCCTTCAGTATTGCAGTTTGAGGCTGGATTTTTTTCTTCAGTTCCTTCAGCTCAACTTGAGAACTTGATGGCAGTGAGTTTTGTTTTTTGGGTTTTTTTTTTTTTTTCCTCTTACCTTCAGCTTAAGAAATGCTGAGCATGTTCTTCCCTTTTGGTTTTGTAACTGCAGGTCTTTGCACATTCCATTATAATATTTACTATGTCTCCTTGAGCTGTCCTTTGAAATCTTGTGTTCAGCTCTTTTAGTTCATTTTTTTTTTTCCATCCACTTTAGCTAGTCTGCACTCAAGAGCAAGTTTCAGAGCATTTTCTGACATTGATTTTGGTCTTTCCTTCCTTTCTGTCTTTTAAATGATCTTTTGCTTTTTTCTTCAGCTTCAACTTGAACTTGCATATGAGCAAATGATGGTCTCTTCCACAGTCAGCTCCTGGCCTTGTTCTGACTGATGATATTGAGCTTCTCCGCTGCCTCTTTCCACAGATGTAGTCAATTTGATTCCTGTGTATTTCATCTGATAGGGTCCTCATGTATAATCACCATTTATGTTGTTGAAAAAATGTTTTTGCAAAGAATAAGTTATTATTCTTGTAAAATTCTATCTTGCAGTCTCCAATGTCAATTCTATCACAAGGCCATGATTTCCAACTAATGACATTTCTTCTTGGTTTCCAACATTCACATTCCAATCACCAGTTATTATCAAGAAATCTTGATAGCATATTTGCTTAATTGCAGACTGCAGAAGTTGGTAAAAATCTTCAGTTTCTTCATCTTTGGCTTTAGCAGGTAGAACAAAAATTTGAACATCAGTAGTATTAACTGGTCTTCCTTGTAGGCATATTGATATTATCCTATCACTGACAGTATTGTACTTCAGGATTGATATTGATATGTCCCTTTCGAAGATGACGAATATGATGCCATTCCACTTCAATTCATCATTCCTGGCATAGTAGACCATATGATTGTCTGATTCAAAGTGGCCAATATCAGTCCATTTCAGCTCACTAATGCCTAGGATCTCAATCTTTATGCATTCCATTTCATTTTTAACAACTTCCAATTTTCCTAGATTCATACTTCATACATTGCATATTCTAATTATTAATGGATGTTTGCAGCTGTTTCTTCTTATTTTGAGTTGTGCCACATCAGCAAACGAAGGTCCTGAAAGCTATACTCCATCCATATCATTAAGATACTGTACTTTGAGGAGGCAGCTTTTTTCTACTTGTATTTTGAGTACCTTGCAACCTGAGAGGCTCATCTTCTGGCACTATATCAGACAATGTTTCACAGCTATTCATAAAATTTTCTAGTACTATATCAGACAAGTTTACACTGTTATTCATAAGGTTTCCAGTGGTCAATTCTTTGAGAAGTGATGACCCCTTCCTGAAATCTGTTCACCATGAGTGACCCTGCTGGTATTTGAAATACCAGTGGGATAGCATCCAGCTTCATAGCAACATGTGAGTCACCACAATATGACAAACTGGCAGAGGAGTGGTGGGAGGCTTAGAGTAGGTAAAATGACTTGGATATGGTAACATAACTTCAGGTAGTATAGCTAAGACTAAAACTCAGATGGTGTTAATTTAGGGCTTTTGCTCTTGACTTGTATGCTTCTCCTACTGTGGTACTAAAATATCACCATGAGACACTCAGCCTGGTAGCAATAGAAGATCTTCCAGTGGGTTTAGGGCTTGTTCTGTCCTGTCCTCCTGTTTTCCAGACAGTTAAGGGGATGGTAGGGTAGTGGGCAACAAACAATCCAAGGATCTAAAGCATTGACCAGCACCCTGCCACTTTCTGGGACCCAGGTCCATGATTGTCAAGTGAGGCATTTTGACGCCACTTGGCAGTTCCAGGCCTCAATCAACTGATAACAAGAAGGAGCCAGAAGCAGCTAGAGAGGAGATGATGACCTTATGAGGACACTCAGTGCTCCCAGAGGTGTGACAACTGTTGCAGGAGCAAATGCGTAAGCCCCGAAGTTGGCAACTTCTCCAGCAGCCACTAGAAAATTAAGGGAGAAAAGATGTTAGTGTGGCTCAGATGCACCATCTTCAGCACAGATAATAATCTGAGTAAAGACTCCTTCATTCTATGCGCACTCATTTGCAGAACCCCAGACAAGAAATCCTTACAATTCTGATCCTGATACACTCTCTCTGGAGGGTCTGATCAGACTATTTTCATCAAATCTTTCCATTTTAAAGATGGGATAGCTAAGGTCCCAAGTCCAAGTTCACATGACAAATTTGTGGGCAGAAATGTTCTTGTTCTTCAGGTCTCTGGGCTGCCAGTCCAGGTACATTTAATTGTATCTCATGGACCCCCAATGGTTTGGTCTGAATCTTTAAGGTCAGTTCTAGAAAGTGCTAATGATCAAATAAAAGAGACAATTACATTTATTGGCTTTCAAAGCTCTAGTGGCATAGTGTCTAATGCATTTGATTGCTAACCAGAAGGCTAGTGGATCAAACCCACCAGCCACTCCTTGGAAGGAAGATTGGGCAATCTACTTCCATAGAGATACCATCTCAGAAACCCAAGGAGGGGTCGTTATGAGTTAAGATCAACTCCACAGCGTGAGTTTTTGTTTAGGTACCCATTGATCCACAGACTCCTCTTTCCCAGGGGAACTAGCAGGCAGTTTCAAAAAACAAGCAATTTGTTAGCAAAAGTCTGACATTTCTAAGGAGGCTAAATTCTCCCCATTCTAGTTTTCAGTTTGCAAACGCTTGCAGATGCCTTTTCTGCTTCACTGCTGGTAGAAAAAAAACCCAGATCTTCTCTTTGATAGCAGGTAAGGATGTGACAGCTCTGGCTAAAAACAGGATCAAAATTTGACTTAAAGGATTATAAATAGAAAGCTGGCCAATTTGTTATCTAAAAAAAAAAATCAGAGATCCGGCAAGATGGCAGACTAGGCAGAAAGACTGCACAGACCCCCTTCAACAAAGAAAAGGGAAACCAATTAACACAGACACAGAAGATAATCCTGGACCCCTGAGCCTTAAAGGGAAGGATATACAAGTGGACTAAACCCCAACT